CCATATCCGAGAAGTATACTTATAGTGGCGTCATCAAAATTAGTAACAACGATATCCAGTCGACTGTCATTGTTGAATTCACCAACAGCTACAAAACTTGGATCAATGCCAGTTGGATATATAGTTTGATTTGCAAAAGAACCATTACCATATCCGAGAAATACACCTACAGTGCTGTCAACATCATGGGGAACAACGATATCCAGTCGAGTATCATTGTTGAAATCACCAACAGCCACAGAACTTGCAGAAGAGCCAATTGAATATGTAGTTTGATTTGCAAACGAACCATTGCCATATCCGAGAAGTATACATACAGTGTTGCCTCCACCATAGGCAACAACGATATCCAGTCGAGTATCATTGTTGAAATCACCAACAGCTACAAAATATGGATGACTGCCAGCTGTATACGTAGTTTGATTTGCAAAAGAACCATTGCTATATCCCAGAAGTACACTTACAGTGTTGCCACCACTATTGGCAACGACAACATCCAGTAGAGTGTCATTGTTGAAATCACCAACAGCTACAGAATTTGGAAGAGGCCCAGTTGAGTACGTAATTTGTTTTATAAAAGCGCCAGTATCAAATGCAACCAATATATCTATATTATCAGTATTGTCATATGCGACAACAATTTCTGATTGTCCGTCATTATTGAAATCACCAGCAGTAACAACTACAGGAGCGAAAATAAAGCTAGATCCAGTAGTTAATTGACGTGTAAATGTTCCCTTTTCATTTCCAACAAGCATATCAATGTTTTTACTACCATAATTAGCTACAGCAAAATCGTGATAGCCATCTTGATTAAAATCACCTATGGCAAGTGAATCTGGATTTGTGCCTGTTGAAAACGTTTGCTGCTCTAAAAACGATCCATTACCATTTCCAAGAAGTACACCTATATCATTAGTGCCATAATTAACGACGACAAGATCTGCCATTGTATCATTGTTAAAATCATCGACAGCAACATATCGCAGACGAGAACCACCACCAGATGCAAATGTTATTTCGTTACCTAAAGATCCTTTGTTATAATGAAGCAATACACTTACAGTAAAGTCCTCAATATTGGCAACAACGATGTCCAGTCGAGTGTCCTTATTAAAATCACCAACAGCTAAATAGAATGGACCAGTGCCAGTTAAATATTTAATCTGATTTGCAAACGAACCATTTCCATATCCGAGATATACATGTACAGTGCTATCACGTTCAGTGGCAACAACGAAATCCAGTCGAGTGTCATTGTTAAAATCACCAACAGCTACAGAAGATGGATGACTGCCAGCTGAATATGTAGTTTGATTTGCAAAAGAACCATCGCCATATCCGAGAAGCACACTTGCAGTGTGATCATTCCAATTGGCAACAACAATATCCAGTCGAGTGTCACTGTTGAAATCGCCAACAGCTGCAGAACATGGCAGAGAGCCAACTGAATAGGTACTTTGATTTGCAAACGAACCA